AGTATATATGATTACCATACCCCCCCTCCATCACCACCACCACCACCACCTTGGCAAGAGCCCCCATCTTGATGTGATTGTGGTAGATCATTGGATGGGGAGTGGGAAGGGGTTTCAATAAGACATTCAATGTGAAGTATATATGATTACCATACCCCCCCCCCCTCCCTCCATCACCACCACCACCACCACCACCTTGTCAAGAGCCCCCATCTTGATGTGATTGTGGTAGATCATTGGATGGGGAGTGGGAAGGGGTTTCAATAAGACATTCAATGTGAAGTATATATGATTACCATACCCCCCCCCCCCTCCATCATCACCACCAACACCTTGCCAAGAGCCCCCATCTTGATTTGATTGTGGTAGATCATTGGATGGGGAGTGGGAAGGGGTTTCAATAAGACATTCAATGTGAACAGTAGATGATTAGCCACAGGATTTATCTTAATGAGACTCACACAATGTGTGGGTGGAAATATATTTTTTGATCATTAAAGATTCATTCTCCCTCAAGTGATCCTTTTAAAGTATTTTACTAATGAAGACTAGAATGATAGAATAGAAATAGCATAGCACTGTGCCTACTCCAAGATCTATTTCTATAATCTGCAATCTACTGTAGATGTCAACTTACTATTCACAAAAACTCCATCTATGCTTTTTTATTTCATCCAAGTGAATTGAAATCAGGGGTTTATTGGTTTATCGAATATTAGGTTGAGATACAACTTAATTTCATTGAAAAGGGCATATGATTCTCTTTATCCGTGTCTTCTTTTTACGAGTGATAACCCTTGAAATGATAATTTTGTGTTGAGATATTATTATTCGAAGTGATGAGACATTTAAAAAAAAATATGTAGATTTCATATTTTATTCTGGTGGTACTGGAGTATATGTTTGAGTTTTTTCTCCTTTTTTTTGGGGGGGGGGGGGGGCAGGACGACGGGGTGGAAGGGTGATGATGAGTATTGTTTTAATGTTGTATTGGAAGAGGAACTGCTTTTTCAACATAAAGAATTGTAGACGATGGTCAGACTTTCCCCCCTTTGTGAGAGCCCTCATACTGATGAGATTTGGATGGATGCGTGGGAAGGGGGAAATAGAGGGGAAGGTAGAATGATGATAAATTTCTTATTACTGTACATGTGCTATGTGAAGAGTTGTTGATGATCAGACTCTACCACCATGACCAAAACCCCTATCCTCATGAGAGTGGGATTGATATGTGGTTGGACAAGAGGTAGAAGGGGGGTGGGGGGGGGGGGGGAGGGGGGTATACACAGAAAAGAAATGAGACAGGTGGTGGGGCTGATGATAAATATATTGAAATGTAAAAAGTAGTTGATAATCAGTCTTTCCAAATGACAAGAGCACTTTTCTGATGAAAAAGGGGTGGATGTGTGGATGATTGAAGGGGCATGTTTGTGTGTATGTGTGTGAGTGGGGGGGGGGGGGTGGGGCGGGGGAGGGATGTGATGAATTACTTTTTTTAATGTGGAGAATTGTGGTTGATGAACTGACACCTTAACCAGTGCCCCTGTCCTGGTGGTATGATTCTGGGGTAAATATGGGTGGATGGGGAATGGGTGGATGGGGAATGGGAAGAAGAGGGAGAAGGGGGTGCAAGAGATAAACATCTTTTTATGTGATGAACTGTTGATGATCAGACTCTCCTATCTTGGCAAGAGCCCATGTGATGATCAGAACGGAGTTGAAAGGTGTAGAAGAAGGTTGTGGAAGGAAGGGGAATGATTGGGTGATATTAACAAGATTACAACTACTACAAGATTACAACTACAAAAATCAACCTTAGGCAACTTCAGTAGCCTTGTGCATTACCCATTAAAATGTGTGAACATGACAATGCATTATTACGTAATCAGAACACGATGGGATATGCCATAGGCTATTGAAATTAACTTTGAGTCGATTTCTTTAAAAAGTAGTAGCGATCGTGTTTATTAAACTTTAATTGATGTGATGAATAGTTTAAGAAAGGGCTTTTCACCTGCTAGGGATCCTTCCCCACTTTACTTGATTAGTGAAAGCCTTTCTTCTGATGAAACTGAGTTGGATGTGTTTTTTGGAAAAAAGAGGAGAGAAGGAGAAGAGGAGGAGGAAGATGATAAACGTCTTTTAATGCAAAATGTCATAGTTGATGATGAGACACCTTATCGAGAGCCCCTCTCTTGATGAGGCAGGCTTGAGACAAGCTTTGATGAGTGAGTGCAGGTGATAATACCAAGCAAAGCAGCTGAAATGTGATCCTAACAACGATACTGACAACCCACTCGATCTTGACTGGCGATACGGATGACCATATCGTAACAGGTGATTGGTAGGAGCTGTATTAAATACAGTTGAAGTAAATGAGAAGAAATGTAGGAAATCAATATTCAGGCCCAATAAACAAGTGAAATTACTGAAATATTTGATAACGATATGATATTTGATGGCGTCTTCTTCAATTTGATACAAATCAATTTGATTTGAAATGTGATCCAACCAACCATACAATCAACCCACTTTACTCTGTTTGGGGATAGAGGTAGCCATCCACTAACATGTGATCAGTAGCCTCATCATGTACACTGTAATTCAAGAACAACAACAAAATGAAATCCATATTCAAGCCTCAGTATTCACATATCGTCCTTGTTTTCACGAAGTGACGGTAGTGAGGAAAATCGTAACGCAAAGTGAATGCAATTTTTTTCACTACCGTCACTTCGTGAAAACAGCGACGATATAATGTGAAATTGCTGTATATTAGAATCGCATGATGATTGATGTCTTCTTACATTTGATTTAATTTGATTTAATTTGATTTGAGTTGCTGACATTTTTCATAATGGTGTGATATTAAACAGTATCTTTTTTTATTTGATAGGTTTCTCATCCAAATGTGATTCTTTTTCCCAAGTTTGATTAGGATGAATAAATTTGGAGTAAAGTCATGTGTGAATGCATTCAGTTGGAATGGAGACATCCTACTGAACAAATTTACGTTAGGCTGATGATCTATTTCTCTTAAAACTTATGCAGGAGTGAATTTGAAATGAATCAGGTAAATACAAATGTTAAGCTACCCACAGCCAGATTTAATTGATGAAAGTGTCAAATGAAAGAAGAGGTGATGGCTCATATACATCTAGTATTTCTGTATATCAACAATATTTAGGGCTGAATTTGAGTTTCCCTGTTTTATGACTCGTGCTGCATACCTTCATACTTGGTCGCTCAAATTCTTTTTCTTCCTTTGGGAATATTTTGTTAGTTAGAGCTGAACTTGAAAGAGCAGAGGTTGATTCTGTTTTTGAAGTAGTAGCAAAGATGTCAATAATTAAACTGTCCAGTGTCCACCAGCACTTCCCCATCCACAAGGATGAGAGAGGCCTCTCAATATAAATGTTCCATTTGGAAGACACCTGATAAATTTGATATATGAAAGATATTGAGTTATTTTGAAGTGCATGTGATGTAGACACACAAATCTCTATTTGTTACATTTGTTTGTAAGAGGAACATATAAAACAAATCATCTTAATTTATGTGAGTATTTCATGTTTGATGCTATTTCAAACATGTGATCTAACATTAAAAACCTTTAAATATTATTCAGAGTATTTTTAAAAGATGGATGAATTTTAAGGGCAGGCAGAGAAATAGCATGTCATATCTATTTATTTTAATATAATCATGGTTTTTACATTGATTGACATGGATGTTTTGTTCCTGAGTTATCTTTGTTCTTTTATAGATGTTTTTAAAAGTACAAAATGTATTCCATCAAAGAGAATTTTGAAAAAAGTAATTGAAATGCACTTAACTTTTAGTGGAGAGAAAGTTCACAATAAAAATATGTCATTCCTGTCATATTCACAATATTGACTTTATTTTCTTTGAGTTTTGTTGTATTGAGATGTTGTTTTCTGTATATCCAGTGGACTATTTTATGTAGCTCACATCCACAAGAGTACCCTGACTGTGACGTGCCAAGGAATAGAAATCTTCATCAAAACGTGAAGCACTTGCAACGGTCACTCTAAATCAATACCCTACAAGGTTAAAAGTCTCCTGAACCATAGGAATTTTTATTGATTGCAATTCAATTAATTAGATTCAGCTTTTGTAATTAGAAATTAAGTCAATATTATGCCTGGGGTGAGAAGTGAAGCGTGTAATAAGTGTGTCGTGTGATGCAAGTTTGACGGTGCTGCAGGGAATAAAAGACTTGCGGAGGCATGAAATTGATTCAAGGATTAGTTATGAAAATATATAAAAGCAGCGTAACAGATGTTTTGCAAAATGGAATAATATTTGTCGCTTTCCCACAATATCAGGGATATGCACATATTCAATAATTGGTGATTATTCTTATGACAATGAACACGTACCTGTATTTCTGCTGATATTGTAATTGAAAGGCACGGAGTATAACAATGTTATGAATTGTAAAATAAAACAAGTCAAAAGAAATTGATAAATTGCATTATGCATTTTTTCGAGTGTGGACAATTTTGCATTATTTTCCATCATTGCAAAGCCATGTTGATTGATGTATTAATATTGGGAACAAACCTTGGAAATCTATAACCACTCACAGTTTGCTGAATTGTTCAATTGCTTCAGATCGGAGCAAGCAAACATTATTTTGATAGTTGATAATAACATCAACTCCCTGTTGACATCAAAGTAAGAACACTGTTAAAATCTGTAAACGTTCTTGATTGTGTTATGATGGTTACTGCTGCTTAGAATAGTTTGTTTTTCTACCCCAGAGTTTTAGATTAAACGTTCACTTTGAAAAGAATGAAGCTGCTAATTTCATTTTCTTGTTGTTGCCGCAGTAATGAACTCCCCAGTGTAGGAAATAGACTCATGTACGTTTGGATTTACACACATTCAAATAGAGAATATGTTCTACCATGTACCTCCATTTGTACATCATTATAATATGACATTTCTTTATTCATATCTCTGCTACAGGTCTTTGAAAGGATGAAGGCAAGTTGAATCAAGATTCTACCAAGAGAAGCCTAGCTATCTCATCAGTTGTGATCTGATCATCTAGGTGTACATGGTATGTTACCTTACTTCTTTTCTCCAAATCTTCCCCCAAAGTGACCTAGCATGTACATTCATCATGTGACCAGCATGTATGTAACCTGTACCAAGAGCTATTCAGATTTTAACTGAACCTCTCTGAGTTGCTGTATGGGGAACTGGAAGTTAGGTCTTAGACACTGCCTCAATTTGGCATTTCTTTCAAATATTTGCACTGGAATACATCAGATTTCATGGATTGAACAAGGGATGCATGGTATCTTTTGATATTAGTAGAACAGTATGAGGCCAAACTGAAAATGCATCATTTTGTTTTGTCTGAACAAGCCTTTAACAGCTTAATACTAAACTAATTTTTTTTTTTGGGGGGGGGGGGGGGGACAGCTACTTTCTATAAAGCCTGTCATGATTATTTGCTGAAAAGTTTTTTGTATAGATTATTTCAATTCTTATTAAAAGATTACAAGATGCATATGTGCATTTAGTTCCAAACATTGTATCATCTATTGAAAGCCAGAAGGGATGTAGCTCTGTATTAACCCAATGACTGCCATGTTTTCTAATTCCTATAGGCTTAATACAGGTATGATTGGGTCCCATACGCAATGGGTTACATTAGTTAATTCCCCTATGACTCTGAGTTTGAGATTGTATCATAATGTCTAGCATTCACCATTTTGAATTATCAAAGTGAGTATAGAATTGCAATTCTATCTACAGAAAAACAAGCCTTCTCCTACATTCTTTTCACATGCATTTCACATTTTCCCTAAAAGGTTGTTGTTGTTTTTTATTGCCGGGAGAGAAATATAAAGTGACCGGAATGCTAACATGAAAATGTTTGCCTGGGACTGCTTAAAAGTATTTTATTTGCATATATCTAGATACAGTATTACTAGTACTCACCTTCTACAGTCAAAGTGCACTAACATGTGTTTTATATTCTGGACTAAAACCCAAATCCTTTTATTCGGCTCCTCTCTATTTACCTTAAATATAGTTATTGTGACATCCCATTTTTAAGTGAGATAACCAGATTTAAATGTATTTTTGAAAAGAAGACAGATGTGTTGACATCGGGTGAAGCGCTTCATGGAAGAGCATATTAATCCAACAGTAGTGTTTTGTTTTGATTGAATTTCTCTCTTAAAATAGCATCCGCTGATTGCATTACTTGAATTTGAGCAAGTCATCTTGAGCACTTTTCTGCGTGCTATAAACAATAGCAATGCGCTTATGACTGTTCCACTTTTCCCCCACCCACACACGGTCTTCTAGCTGTGATTATATCATTCATTTTAAGCTCATTATCACCAACCCTAAGGCTAGTAGATACAATCTCTCTTGTCTCATATCATCAGTCACATGTCTCTTGTGAGTACACCTGTAGACTTATTAATGCTGTAAACAAGAGTGACATAACCACATTTTCTATCATTCTCGTTCGCTGGTGATGTTCCTGTTTTGATTTTTGTACACAACATCGTCCATCTCCATCCTCCCCCTCCTCCAGAGGTTGCACATGCCTTGCATCCACAGCTCAGGGCTATCTTCCACATTCAATAGAGTTTTCCTATCCTCTCATCAGTCATTCTAATGTCTTCTTGCCGTCGGTCGTCTTCTCCTCGCCACCTCACCAAACCTGTTGTTATTGCTCGAGAATTTACATTGCACACACGCTTGAGAAACCGCAATTGCTAGAATTGAATCATCATTCCATCACTGAGCAGCCGAATATTGGAATAATTCCTCATTTCCCCGGCTCTTTCTTTCCTTTGACTTGCTGCACGTGATCAATGCCAAGTCAATTGCACTTCGGTACAGGCAAAAGAAGATGGAGAGAGAAAAGGAGCCCTGATCAAATACGGACCGTGGCTTGAGTTTAGACTGCAAATTTGCCAAATGTTCTACAAATTAATTCAATTTATGAAAGGGGTTATGCATAGCTAGTAAACGTGAGTTTTTTTTGCCTGAGTGATAAATTGATTGAGGACACTCTCCAACTGTGTTAGCAATGTTTGAGTTGTTAGTGTACAAGGTGTGATGGAAGTACAATATAAAGAATGGCAGACAGGGGTGCAACTCCTATCAAAGAAGAGGTGTGATTTTATGAATAAACATGGTAAGAGAAGAGAGATTTCAAAGTGTAATATATAAAAAATAATCATTATCGATTGAATGAATTGAGTATGTGCAACATACAAGGTCATATACTTAGTGTGATTAAGTTTGCCTACCTCTAGACGTAACATGAGTGATGAAAATATAAGGGCAAGAACAGAAATGGTATGCGACGTATAAGAGGAGGAAAGAAACTAATTATACAAATTGACTAGGCAGCAAGAATTCATTCAAATTTGAAAGAAGTTCGGAAAATGAAAGTGGGAGAAGTAGGTGGATATTAATAATAGAAGGATAAAGTTCTGTAGCTGTACTTGTGACCCATTTGTTAGAGATCTCTTGTTTACATCAAGCAAACAGCTGAAATGGAGTTAATTGAGCTCTCAACATCTCTCTCACACTTTCCTTTATCCTTTTTTTCTCTTTTGCCTATAGTCTGTCTTCCAACAGTCGCTGTAAAAAACTTTGTTTGTATAGGAATGTGAGACAGAGACTGAAACTGTTGCCATAGATACCTGTAATTAAACCACATGGTAAACAATTCTTGCAACAGTCGCATTTCAGTTATTGGATCAGGTCCATACCAGGCTTGAATGGTTTATTATCCTGTATATATTTATCAATAATGATTTTGGTTGTGATATACTCTAATTTGTGAGTAGCGTTAGAGAGATAATAGTTATGTTTGATTTACAAATGTTTTATACACATATTACTGTACAGATTCTTTGGTTCATAATAACGCTGACGATATTTGTTCATCACTTTCTTGAGAGACTTGAGTTAAATCTATGTGGTCTTTTTAAACCCAAGTTTGAATGGTTGGCTTTTACTACATTTTGTACAAGTAAGAAAATAATACATATCATAAAAAGTAATGACTCAATCATCAGCCTGTTTGCAGCAAGTGTAAAGACCCTATTAATTATTGGCTCTTTCAATGAAAATATTGACATATAAAATATTGATGGCTCCTTTATTTCATATTTAGATTTTAAGATTAATCAAGATAGTAATGCACTGTGTACTTTACTTTTCCTTTCATCCTTGCAATTTAGAATATGTTTGATTTTGATTTACAATGAAATAGTTGAATGAATTGCAATCAAATGTGTGTTTACTTAGAATCTTTGAACACCCTAAATTGCTTTAGATGAAAGCAGAACAAATAGAAAAGTAGCTGGATGAGTGAAAGTTTGAATGAAATCAGACAAAGAAGAAGAAAGTTATGATTTATAAAAATATTTGTAATCGTTATCCATCAGGAAATTTCTTTAGTTGAATCTGTAACGTGACTATAATCAAGAGGCTGACATTTGTTCCAACAGACAGAATTACTAAAATGTTTATTTTTTAGAATGTGTACATGTAGCTCATGGAGTGTCTCTTCTTTTTAGAGGACCTGTAATAATATATATCCGTACTATTTTTAGGAGTATTTCAATGGAGAAGGAGCTTAGGAAAGAAACAATACATGACAACAGGAGAGTTGTCTGTGACTACGTCACAATCCACAGACCTAATTGCCAATTTGAGAATGCACAGATGTAATGATTTCATATTTCAAACATTCATTACTTTCTCATTATTTGTCCGACTTATTTCCAACTTTTGCCATTCTGTTTTCCTTATTTTTCTGCTTTCATACAAATGAACTCTTTAGAAAAGTTGGATTGCCTTTTAATCCCCTTTCTGATTTAGCAAACTTATAATGAAATAGATGTAACTGTCTGAGCGTTCACATCAGTACATTATCAGCACATTATCACATACATGATCAGATAGAGCTAACAACTTTGATCATCACCACTGAGCTTCTGGGGGAGAAATATTGATCCTGATAAGCTTCAGTTTTCTGCAGACCTTCAAACACCACTAATAATTTACATTGTCATTGATTTAAATGATACACCGTTCCCATGGGAGCATTCTGAACTATATCTAAAGTGATTGAAAAGCCCCAATGGGGTGCCTAGAGAAACCTTCTCTCATACATCTACATCCCAGCGCCATTAGGAGCCGTGATGTTAATTAATAGTCAACCAAAGCTGCAACGACAGGAACCCATCTCGGCTCGCTTTTCACACACAGCTGCGATGTAAACAATTTAACATTCAATCATTAGCTCGAATCTGAGCTCCATTTGTGGACAAGACTTTGCTGAATACCGACCTCATTGCCAATATTTGGAGTTTTGTGGGAGGATGTGGGTTTAATCATTAGCTAGATGTTGAAATGGAGCTCGCTTTACAGAGATATTGGTTTTCACTTGAATTGCATCGCTTGATTGAGTCCCTTTCATCTGAAACTGAAGCCAGGATGTTCACATTCCAAAAGATGTCCTGTATTTGAGTCAAATTAAATATTTTAAACCGTCAGTATCATGTAAGTCCAAGGTATTTTATGATTTTATGTCCCACATGTTACCTAGTATAATGGATGAAGTAAATAACTTATTGAAAATGTTATTTTGTTTCTATCTTCTATTCAAAGCCATATCAAGGGCTCTTAAGCTATCAACCCAAACATGTACATCCAATACGGTATACATACAGGGCAGAATCGCTATTTTCCCTTTTTTTCTCCAGAATTAATCTGGTATTTTCATGTTTCAATATAAGCAAACTTTCTTTTACATTGCTATCCTGGCTTAGTTACTTTGTAAAATACTAGAGAATAGAAGTTATAATGTTGTGTTACATTAAACACGAATGAGAACAATACCAGATGAAACAAACATGATCATGTATATTATATTAAATGTATACTAAAACAGGGCCCTATGATTGTCAATTATATGTTGTTCCTATGTTCATATGTTGAAGCAAGATTGTTAATGTAAATATAAATAATTATCCTATATGGACACAATAAAGAAATGAAATGAAATGAAAT